CTCTCTCTCTCTCTCTCTCTCTCTCTCTCTCTCTCTCTCTCTCTCTCTCTCTCTCTCTCTCTCTCTCTCTCTCCCTCCCTCTCTCTCTCTCTGAGACTCTTCGTGTCGTCGTTGTCGTCACGCACTAGCAGGTAAGCAAACTTACGAATACATCACAAAAGTACACCGGACCGTGGAACTTAAAACCACTATCGTCGATCGGGCCCGCGTTGGACGGCCAATAGAAATTTCGAGAATCGCTGGGCCCGATCCCGAAAAATCTATCGGGCCGTCCAGACGCGACACACAATCTAGATTATTCCGACCGGTTCGGACCGCTTCGGCTCGGCCCGAAAGATATAGCCGGTGTCTGTCGGGCCCGCCTACCCGTCCCATCTTGTTTCCCAACAGTAGACAACGGTCCTTCGCGGGAGCGTTACGCGAGGACCGCTATTCACTTAAAGGATGTTAAGGATACAGAAACGATGGGCTAGACACTTAAATATTTATACAGATATTTTCAAACCAATTAAGTGGTGTCAAGGTGTCAAAGACAAACCGGCTAAGTTTGTATCTCTGCAACGGCAGATTATCCACAAATGTTTGCCAACAAATGACTGGCTGATTGACCACACCACCTTGGAACAAAGGGGGGTAGCTTTACCATGGTGTGATGTATGTGTGGAAGCTTTTCCTAGTAGGAAGATTAGGGAAACAATAGAACACATTTTTTTGCAATGTCCAGGGGCAAAATTGTTGTGGAGGCGCTGGGATTATGTATGGAACAAGTTAACAGGCTTAGATTGGCCTTGGGACTGGAGGGCGATTCTATTAGGACATTGGTCCCCTGCTGTTAATGAATTTTCAGCACAATTTATTTAATATGGGAAGGAAGGCTATTTTATGGGCACTATGGCATAAAAGGTGTGTATTTGCAATGGAAAAGCTCAGGATTGAGGGCAGAGAAATGTCGTAGTTAGTTCAACAATTTATAGAAACAGAAGTGAGGTACCAATGGGATAAGACTAAAACGGGACTTCATATGATGCAACAAAAAAAGGACATAAAAAAAAAAATCCAAACTTTCACAAAGGACTGGCTGGGTGATTCTTCAAGAGTGAAACTGGGGAATGTGGAGTGGCCAGGAGGGGAAGGGGGGGAGATGGACTTCAAAAGAGATTATGGGATCACCTTCCAGGATTGGTTTAATGTACAGCCAGGAGCTGTTTTGAGATCGCCAGATGCATTTCCAGATCCCTTTCCTCCTTCAGAGCTTGCTCTGGTGGATATTCATTGGTTTGGAGGAGGGGAAGGTTTAGGGGGAGGGCTGGCGAGTGTTTTTTCAAGCATTGACAAGCGTTATGTCCTGTTATTTTCATTTAGGTAATATCTGGGTGTGTTTTTTAGTATAGGC